AAAAGATACCGGGTTATTATATGCAGGAACAAAAAAAAAAAAAAAAAAAGCTGACAAAGTCTCACTACAGTTTCACGAAACAGTTGAGGATTTTTTAAAAATTTCTAAGCTTGAGTATCTAAAATGAAAGACGGCTTTCTTTGTCTCTTTTTTTAAATTGTTGGCTATTAAAAATAAATTGCAGGAGGACAAGAACCTTAAATACTAGACATGTCTAGTTGTGGCGATTTCTGTGTAAAAGTCAATGTCTGGTTGTCAGCTAAATAGCTATCATAATAGTCCGTGTAATAGTTTGGTTGGTTCAACCGGAGCGACACTGATTAGAGTTGAACAATATCACAGGCATTATCCCAACCACAGAATAAATAAATATCTACAGGGTGGTCCAAAAGTCGTGTTACCCCTATATAATATAATTTTCTACTTCAGATTGACAAAACTTTCGGACCACCCTGTACAATGTCTATTAGTCTAGGTAGGTCAGTGATATTACCTAAACAAAGAGATGGTGACTGACCTATATTTTGGGTTATGAGAGACCAGTCGTGCAATAATTCTATTGCTGGAATAGCTTTCCCCTTTACTCAGCTGATGTTTGTAACTAATTTCAATTATTTCTGATTTGAAAGTTTTAAGTACATTATGGAAAGTGGTATGATGTTCATAATGAAGGGGTTCAATTGTTGATTGGATCTTGCGGTGGCGACCGACAGGAACCACTATAAATTTTAATTTTAAATTTCTAGTCCTGCATTATTTTTTTTAACAAACGATAAAAAAAAGCTTAGCACATTGCAAAATGGGCTATTAACTTTTTCAAAATGTGTGTTTATTCGTTAAAAAGGATAAACACTATGTTTGTTAGTTATTAAAAATAAACTTTTTTGAAGCATTTGAAATGAATGTTTCTACGTTTTTACATGACAAACAAAAAGTAGTAAAACAAACTTGAAGTTTTGATTTTCTGAGAAAATCAACTGGCAAATTTTATAAAAGGATTAAATTTTGTTTTTGATGATTAATAAAAAAAAAACTATCTGCTTTAACAAAATTCTAGCACTTGTTCATTTCAAATACTGACATGACGCAATTTTGAGGTTTTTAAAGGAAAATATTTTTTTTCCGCTGGCTCACGATCACCATGTTTCACCAGCACCAACTTTATTACAGCGGTAGTAAACAGAGTAAAGAAATGTTTTATTTACGAGTTTCTTTATGCTTTGTAGTAAGTAAAGTTTTTCAAAATCTGTCTGAATAGAATGACGAAAGACTACGTCTTTAAAAACACTAAAATGTGTTGCTGTTGGGAGAATCTTACAAAGATGGCGGCATTAGTTTTCTCTACTGGTCGATTGGTAGCAATACAAAACACCATGTGCTGAAGATCAATAAAAAGATTGATAAGATTATCGCTGTCGTAGTCTGTAATGCAAAAATACCAGCGAAGTGTTGAAATTCTAGAAACCCATTGATTTTATAAAACGGTGTTGTTGCATAATAAAAGAAACGAGACTAATAATTTAATTTAGACGAGTGGAAAAAAAAATGGATGAACAGATGATTGAACAATTATTGGTTTTAGGTTTTAATTTTTGTATAGAGACTACAAATATGTAGTGATGAGAGGCAATGTATTTGAAAATCTGATTTAAAAGTTGAAGAGAAAAAATGATTTACTTTTAGGAGAATTAAGGGGCCATGATTGTGAAGAAAAAAAAAGGCACTTTAACTAAAAACTAAAAACATCTTCCCATTACTAATTAGGCTGAAAATTTTGAATATCATTTGAAACAAGGGGCAATCATGTGGAATAGAAACAAATCGATTATCGCCTAATCGATAAAAATGTCAATGGAGAGGTTCGAAATGTGAAGAAGTTGTTTCAAAGAAACAAGTTTATTTAAGAATTATTGTTTGATAATTCGTTGATTTTTTTCACGTGTTGCTAAAATAAAAGATGGATTCAAATCTTCATCAAAAAAGTTTAGAAATATTAGGCCCAATTTTAATTTAATAAATTGCAAGAAAAAGTAACAAATGTCGATATACAATCGTTATTTCAGGATATATCTGACATGTTTATACAAACATTTATTTTTGTAATAAAGCTTTAAAATATAAATTTAAAAATTATGTGAAAAATCAAGAACATTAAACCTTTTTAACATTCATTAACAAAACTTAAAACACACAAAATATTCCAATACGAAATGTAAATGGAGTGCAATCCACCAAAATAAAAAATATTAAATAAAAATAAATACCCTATCTTGAAATAGACAGTTTAGTTTTATTTTTAAGAATGCACAAATATAAAATAACAAACCGTAAAATTTTTCAGACATTTTAAAGAATGAGATAATAAACTAAACTTCATAACGAACAATCAGTGTTTTCAAAAAAGAAAATGCAGAAAATAGCTTTGAAATACAGTTAATTATTTTTATTTACTAAATTTTCATTTTACAGTGTAAAAAAAAAAAAAAAAAAAGTATGAAATTCGCAGATGAAGGCAGAATAACAAAACTGGTAAATAAAAATTTAAAAAGGATGGAAGATTGAGAAGAGAGAAAAGTTATGGAATGTCTTTCATTCGGTGATGATCAGTAAAATTGTGTGGGTGTCAGAAGAAAAGTGAAGGTTGTATTAATCTCTACCCAAAAGACCTTTTTACTTAAAGGAATAGAAAAATAAGGAAAGGTAAGGAAATATAATTGTTTGTGAGGAATGAGGATTAACTTGTAAATTAAATATCTATTTTGCTAAACTAATAAATTTATGTCCATTTTTTATTTTTGTTTTACAATGTGATTTTAGAAATCTGACAGACTACTTACTGGACATTGACTTTCTTTACTACAACTACTTCTACGTGTCTGTATCCTTCCTGGTCTTCACTTTGGTTAACTTGGGCATTTACGAAAGTAACAAGTGGAGATTCATATGTCAGGACAGTTCTATTAATTAAAATTTTTTTTTTTTTTTTTTTCAGGAATTATTATCATGTGCTTTTTTTAACAGGTGTTGGAATCTAACAACCAAGTGGAAATACTTGACAAATTTTATTAAATATTAATTTTAAAATTAATTACAAATTAATTTAATCATTTGAAAGTGCTTAGAATAGCAAGTGACAACAGAAAGGTGTTAAAAAAAAAAAAAAAACTAAAGAGACGAAATTACACAGCTCAACGAAGTTAATGACAATGTTAATTTATTTGTTGCTTTAATCGCCAAACTTCATGCACTATCATAACTCCAAATGCAACCAAATTAACATTTTTTAATACTAACGTTGAATACACTGTTCCCATGTTAATTTGCTTAGCACTGGATAGAAAAGATTAAAACAATAACAACAGGTGTTAAAAATCTTGCATGTGCTAAAAAGTGAACAGTTGTGGGGAATAATTTACTGAAAGAAAGGGAGTTAGTTCTGTCAACTAATCTAATTATAAATTATTTTAACTTTTCTGATTAAAAAAAAAAAAAAAAAAGTTTAAAAATATAAACATAATTACTTATTTTATTTTTTGTAGGAAATGAGGAAAACGGACAGTCTTTTTTTTTTTTTTATAGAACTGAAATTTTGGTTGATCACGAGTCTGCAATCATAACCACAAAAAATAAAAAAACAGCTGATATTTTTAACCCCTAGACTAGAAGAGAGAGTGATGAATATTCAGTTCTTTTTTTAATTTTATCACTTTATTTCTTTTTTTTTTAATTAAATGAAGGATTAATAACCGAGGAAATAATTTTTTTTCTTGTAAAATTGTAGAAAATGAACACTTACAAAAATACAGCATCTTTAAAAAAGAAAAAAGTTTTTATGTCTACCATGCGCCAAGATCCACTTAGTCACTAGTGGAATCGTCAAGTTAAATTTTAAAAGAATAATTGAACATTTAAAAAATCGGAGAAATTGCCTCAAGCAAGATGAAGTTAAAGATTTTATGAGAAATAAACGTGCAGTGTTGCATCAGTTTGCGGAAAATGTGCTTTCCTAGGGTTGGGGTTTCAACAAATTTACTAATATTTGATAAAAAAAAATATACATAATTCAAACTTTGGAAAATCATAGAAAGCAACATCCTGATGAATGTTGCACCCCCTCCCTCCTAGTATATTAAAGTTTTATTTTTAAAATAAAATAATTGAAAAAAAAAAAAATTTTTTTTTTTTTTTAGAAAATTAGTCTCTAGCACCCATTTTGTTACCATAGAATTGAGGGCCAGACTATTTTTTAACGGAACTAGATGTACGCTTCATTCTGGTTCATAAAGGTTCGGGAATAACGTTCTCAGTGCTATAAGATATTTTTATAATTTTCTTTTAAAAGAAATATTTTATTTGAATAAATTATTAGTAGAAACTGACAGATTGTCATTTTTACTTTTTTCAGTAATATAGAAACGCAAGTTTTACTTTTAACAATTGGAAGAAAAAAAAACCATCAAATAAATAAAGATATTAATTTTTCCAGACACCAGAAATGTTTATTAAGGCAAGATTTTAAAACTCACAGCAAAGTAAGAGTCAATTTACTGATCTATCACATGACTAGCAAACTCACCTACTAAGTTAGAGTTTTTTAAAAAAAAAAAGCAAATTTAAAAAAAATATTTGCTGTATTTAAATATTTGGTAATTTACAAAAGTTAAATGAACTACAATTTTCATTTTTCATTGATGGCAATGGGTAAGCAAGCAATTAAATGTAAACTTCAAGACATTGGAGAATTAAATAACTAAGTGTTGAGCAAGTGAACAGAAATGTCTTTTTAAAGGGGTCTTTTAGTAATTTAAATTTGTTGCATTATTTCCTCTCTGGTCATCCGTAGAATTTTAAAAAAAACAACTATAAAAAGAAAAAGGCATTTCTCTTCGTTTAAAAAATGGCTACAAAAATGTGTTGATTACAGTGTATTTAAATTTACTTACGATTTTTAAAAGGGTAACAATGTTAATTGCTTAATAACAATATTTTTATGTACTTACTCGTTTGAACAGTCGTTCTGTGGCTCGGCGACCGAAGGAGGAAGTGTGAGGTTTGGTTTTTTCTTCATGATGTCAAAATAATTGATGTTTGTGAAATATTGAGAATTAAGAATGAATAAATGTTGTTTATGGTTGGAAGATTAAGTGATTTATTTTTTTAATGAACAAAGTCTTAGAGTAGTTTAACAGCCAGTGACTCCTCCTTTGGGTAAATAATAGATGTTCCCTTTCGATACTAAATCCAGACGTCAAGGGGGAAATCCTTGTTTTCCACGTTTATAAAAGCTGATAGCGATTTCAATCCAATAAATGCCGAGACTATAAGTGTCTTTGCTGTAAAAAAGCCCTCTTTTGATTTATTTACACATACACACCGCTGTTTAACCATATATTTCTTTAAATGAGTTTTCCCCAGTCGTAAGTAAGAGATTTAAATTGGGGAGGGGATATTAACAAGGAATAACAGTAGTAAAGTTAATAAAGTAAAAAAAAAAAAAACAAAAGTTTTTTTTCTTTCTTTTTTCCACACTTCCAGTTGACGTTATTTAACCAGTTGATCTTTGGAGTAAAATTTGAAAAAAAAAAAAAAAAAAAAAAAAAGAAAGAAAAATCAAAAAACCTTTCCAAAAACGGGAAGTCAAGTTGAGCTCTAAAATAAAAATAATGTTATAACTGGAGATCCTTCCTTCTTCTTGTGGGTGTTTGTATATATACATAAGAGTATATCCATATCTAAGACACACATTTTTATAAATATAAATAAACGTTGTTTTTTTTTTTTTTTTTTTCCTGGCAGCAACTAAAAATTAATGGGAGTTGTCGATCGGTAGTGGTGCTGGTAGTGTGTGTGTGGTGGTGCTACTATTGCCCCTCCTAATAACACAGAAAAGAGGAGGAGGAAAACAGCTAATAATAAAGGGAGGGAGAAAAAAAAAAGATAATATTTATAATAATACTGATAAGTACTCCTCACTGTTTATATACATACACATAACTGGCATGAAACACGGTGTACTGTTATGTTATGTATATAAAAACTAAGTTTGCGGAATCAATCACAGATCCTTTTTGTACAACAAAATAATTTGAACGGGTTTCGTCTCCAACTTTTGCCTTTTCTTGTATTTCTTCTGTAATTGCTGCTGTAATTCATTCGTTCCTAAAGGTGTTTTTTGTGGTGAGTTGGGGATATGCCACTTTGTTGTTAGAAGTCACAACAAAAAGGCAGGTGCTACTGTTGTAAAATTAGTTGTGGCTCTTTTTTTTATGGGTGAGGGGGGGTTGTTTAAAAAAAAGGTGAGGTGCTCGATTAATTTAAACTTTTAGTAGCACACTGCTGCTGCTGTTTTAAATCATAAATCCAATGTCTTTAAAATTGTTATCAAAAAGAAATGGCACACCACCCGTAGTAGTCGCGGTGGTGTCCTCCTCTTTAGACAGACATGGATTTGCCTGTCTGTTTGTTTGTTTACAGCCTCACCTTTCTGTTTATCGGCTGGCTCTATTTGTCTTTTTCTTCCTACATATATACAGTTTATAAGTAAGTAGTACTAACTACTACTAAAAAGTAAGCAAGTCAGTACTATTGGAACCACAACAGACAACTCACCACATCAGTGAAGTAAGCCAGGAGACACCAGTGTGGGTCCTTGTGATGATAATAATTATGATGATGATAACAGAAGGAGGTGCAGTAATAGCAAAGTTACTATTATAGTAGGAGGGAATGTTGTTGCTACAACATAGACTGCTACTCAGAAGAATAGTAATGTTGCTTCATTCACTTATAAAAATTATTTGTAGAATGTTAAGTTAAAGTAATAATAAAACTAATATTTTATTTATAAATTCATTTTGGCGCAAAAGTATATTATTTGTTGAAATACAATTAAAAAAATAATATTTGATTTTGTAAATAATGAATTAATGGTAAAATCGTAGTAACGGTAATTCTTTACACAAAGTAATTTTATTTGCATATTGAATTATAATATGCTAGTGATGATAATTATTAATCATAACAGTGGAAGCTTTGTGAATATAATAAAATAATACTACAGGTATTGATAGTAATAATAATTGACACTTTTATAGTGATGATGATGATAGTGTAGCAGTTGTAGGCGGAGGGAAGAAAATATTTGTAACGCTGTCTGCACTACAACCCATAATACTAGGATATGACGTAAAAGATTCTCAACTTTTTTTAGAAGATTATTAATAGCACGAGAATGCCACTACCAGTTAGCATTGCCATTTATTCGCTATTAGAGTAGTTGTAATTTTTAATAGTAAAAAAAAAAAAAAATAGTTTCACTGTAAATAAAACACGCTACACAGATTCACTGACTGCATTTGGCAAACATGCAAAAATAAAGACTTAATAAAATTTAATTTTAAGAACCATACTATGGCGTTCAATAGAAAATATTTTTTAAAAATTCCAATTATTTGATCGTGATAAAAAAAAATAATTAAACTGTAAATACTTTTAAAACTCATTCTGCACCATAATAAATGTGTATTAAAAAAGAAACAAGTAGGGAGTTATGGAATAAAAAACCGTTTATTACAAAAATAATGTAGCATCCAAAATTAGAGACTAAAAAAATCGTAAATACAAATGTAAATTAATCATTTTTGATGCGGAATATGTTTTTATGGGCCGCAGCTTTTAATTAACTTCAGCACATCTACAATATTAATTTGTCAAACACTCAAACTGTTCATGTCCCATTCTCAATGACCTGTCGGGTGGTCAAGATTTAAGTTAAGTCATCATGAGGTCGTTCTCAGAACATGGATCATTACCTGGCGCCCGAGGCGTCCCAGAAGAGAAAAAAGCTGATCGGATTTTTTTTTTTTTGCTTTTTGGACGGAATGAAAGCGTAGTAACTGTTCTCTCCTCATTTGAGATAGGAGAAGGCACCCGGCCCTGGGGATTCCAACCCTGCAGCAGCACCTTTTTCAATGCACCAAAAGAGTGGCGTATCGACGCGAGCGTGGCTGCTTGCGGAGACTGTTTCTTTTTAAATATTACATTTCATGTGACACAAGGGGAAGTGGGGAAAGGCTGGTCGTCACTGACTATCCTACATCGAGGTAATCTGTTTCACGACCCATTCATTCTTACAATTGACTCAATCACCACAAGAACGCATCCATCACCGTTCAATCCAACATCTACCACAATATCGCATATTCACAGGGATACAAACTCCTACAATTATAAAAATTTGATAATGTACAAATTTTCCATTTTTTTTGTTTTTTTTTACAAAAATATATTACACCTGAAATGAGGGAATGAATCCAATAACGAAAATAAAGTACAACAAAACATCGGAAACTAGGCAGTTTTTTGTTTTGTTTTTTTTTTTTTTTTTGCACATATGTATGCATATGCCCTCCATCAACATAAAGACGTATCACATCCAGCCCTAGGCAAACACCAAGGGCTGAGGTGGGTCGAGCAATTTGTCTAATCCATGTACAATTTGGTTCCTACTCTAAATTCGGCCTTAAGCTATATTTCGTTTAAATGGCCAAACTGATAAACATCAAATGAATGTCATCAGTTTCCTTACACTATTTCATGGTCAATGAACTTTCACAAAATTATTGAATTGAGATCGTGACTTTGGTCGAGCTTCGATGTGTTCAGCTTCAAAGTGTTGTTTCAATTTTAGCAGCATTATAGGGGACATTATCCTGTCAAATGTTACAATACTCTGTTCTGTTTAATTATATTCTTAGGCATCGCATACATTGCATAGTTTACTTTGCTATGTAACTGAATGAATGAGACAATAAGCACAAGGAAACATTACACACACCAATAATACGCTACCACCTCCGAATCTGAATTTTTCCATACATTTGGGTAGCAGTCTTTGCACTGTTCATTCAGTCACTGCCAAATTAAATTTCAAGCAGCACCTTCCTCATTGCACTAACTAAAGGGTGGCGTAAGTTTGTCCAATTTTCATCGGTCAAGGCGACATGCTCGTCTGTAAAGGCTAGAGAGTGCTTTTTGGACTTAGTTCTTCTTGATGAAATAAGACCGAAGAACGCACATGAAACATTGCTTTTTTTTTTAACATAAAAGATGTGTAACTGTCTACAGACATTTTCATGCCATATTCTTTGGTTGTGAACACTCAATATCCGCTATGTCGAGAAATCCGTTGACCATAGTCTTGAATCGCCAAATTCTTCCCGAGTTGTTTTATGTGGCTGTCCTTGTATGTGACTTAAATATAAAATTGCCAGTATAATAAATCTTTAATATTCTAAGAATTAAACTCTCAGTTTAAATAAACTGCATTTGCAATTGCAGAAATCGTTATTTCTGTGACAGCTCGACACCTATGATTCAATTCTGCAATGGCTTGGGAAACAATTGGATTGGAATATTTACGATGCAATTATATTAGTATCATTGAGAACTATTACATTTTAGAAATTAACTATATAAAATTATAAATTATTTATTAAATTAATGACAAATGTTTGCTCTCTAAATTTTAGACAATTTTTATTTAAAAAAAAAAATTATTAAATCTTTATTTAAAATAAAGAATTTTTGTTCTTTAACTTTATTGGTTCTTTTTTTTTATGGAAATTTATCATAGGGTACTAAAAAAATTAAAGGCTATTTACTGAAAATTTTGTCACAACCAACCGTCTACAATTGGAGATTTTGAATCATCCGTTCTCTAATATTGGACTGCACTATTTTATACGAAACTAGAGACTGGACGCGAAAGAAAGGCAAGGGAAATAACTGTAATTTACAGTTATCGGTCCTTTGTTACCCATAATCCTTCGCATTTGGTCCTTTCTCTTCCGGTTTCTAGCCCAGGTATGTTGGCTGTTCTTATATCTCCCGATTTAAAATCGAATTTGAATGTGTTTTTAACTTTAAAAATTTTACCATCTGTTTTTCTTGATTTAAAATAAGATGCCTTTATTTGAACTTGTTCTAATATTTTATCAGATGGACTCCTAAAATAATTTTATCTTTTAATTTATATTAAACCGTGGCGTGTACTTTGTATAACCAACG